GCGTCAGGGTAATTCTTTCAAAACAACCAACATCCTTGAGTTTATCCGTCAACATAAACAGTCAAATGGAAATTTCTGTAACCCTGCCATTTAATGGTTTTGCCTCCTTGTGAAGATTGTTGCAAACATTAACAATAAAACTTGATTAACCCCAGAGCCATGCGCACTGCGCTGTACTCCGTGACTGTAAATGAGGGGAAAAACAATTTAATCAGATCCTTTTCTTACCTTTCCAACATGGTTTACAAGAAGAAGAAAATATCATTTCTATAGCGCCTCTCAAGATAAAAATCATGAGGCACTTCACAAAAACAAAAAATGTAAAAATATAAAAAAGCATTTAGAAAATGTTTAAAAATATATTTAAAATGAGCAAAAATAGACAATTATGATTTTAAAAAATGTTAAGAAAGAGAGAGAGAATAGGAAAGAGGGAAATCAGTGGATCCTGAGGAAGGTGGAATAGGTGGGGAGAGCAGAATAAAGAGAGAGTGGTGAAGAAGGTCATACAAAAGCCAGCTTGAACAATTTAATGTAAAAATTTCAATGAGTACAAACTTTAGTCGCACCAATCTAACGAGACTGAGCCTGAGCTTGTATTCTGAACTGTTTAAACATGTTTAAAACGGAGACATGCGTGGCGCGTCTGAAGTTCGCACCTGCTCAGCTACTATGGAATTTAAACTAACAAGATTAATAACATAAAATTACTTTAGGCAAGACAACATCCCCCACACTTTTGAAAAGCTTGCAACGCGCCTGCTACCAGTTACAAATTGTGAAGGGGAACAATTTTCACAAATGGCAGGAATAAAAAATGAACTGAGAACAACACAAACTCAACAGCACCTCAGTGCACTGTCACTGATGGCAACTGAATCTCAGTTTGTCAGGAATCTGGACTTTGATGACATTGTAAATTAATTTACTAATAGAAAGGCCAGAAAGCAGTTTTTCTGAAGGCAAGAGAGGAGACCAATAAGAGGAAACAAAAAGAAGAGGAAGGAGCCAGGAGTCAAGAGGAAGAAGGAGACAGGAGTCAAGAGGAGGAAGGAGACAGGAAACAAGACGAGGAAGGAAACAGGAGACAAGAGGAGGAAGGAAACAGGAGACAAGAGGAGGAAGGAGACAGGAGACAAGAGGAGGAAGGAGACAGGAGAGATGAGGAGGAAGGAAACAGAATACAAGAGGAGGAAGGAAACAGGAGACAAGAGGAGGAAGGAGACAGAAGACATGAGGAAGAAGGAGACAGAAGACAAGAGGAGGAAGGAAACAGGAGATAAGAGGAGGAAGGAGACAGGAGGCAAGATTAGGAAGGAAACAGGAGGCAAGATAAGAAAGGAAACAGGAGACAAGAGGAGGAAGGAGACAGGAGACAAACAAAAAACATACAGATATTTAACCCTTGTGTCAACATAAGTAAGCGAGTTTTAATATTGACAATGTTATGAAATGTCTAAAAAGTGCTTCTGGGTGGCAGTAATATTGGGGGAGGCCGGGTGGGGTGGGTGCCCAGGGACCCCTGCAATGATAATCCGGCCCTGGATGGACAAAAAACATAGATTTACATGTAAGTAGTTTAAATAGAGTGCTGTGCTGTTTGAATATATAAACTGAACACCAAGAGAAATCACTGGTCTGATTTTTTTCTGTGAATAAAATAAATATGTGAGGCAGGAGCGTCTCAGGATCTGTCTGAGATCTATCTCGGTGAGACAGATTATAGCAATCCAAAGTGCTTTTTATGTGTGATCTGACAATTGATCAACCATTGCCTGAAACTGAAATATAGCTTAGCCGGTTAATTGCTGTGATCATAAGACACAAACGGCAGCACGCAGAAATCACGAGGCAACATTTTACGTGATGTTTACTTGTTGCTATGAGTAATAAGACAGAAAAGGCCACGCCAAAATCAGTTTAGGAAGCCCACTAAGAATCGTAATAAAAGCATTTAAAATAAATACCATATACAGTTGAGGAAACGTTGGTTTAAGTACCTGATATGAAGTGGTCGCTGCATAAGCGAAAACCTTTACTCTCAGGATCACACAGCTTCATTTGAGCCTGGAGGCTAGCGCGTTTCATTGCAATGATCCAACTTTTGCGGCGTTCCGGATCTTGGGGAATCCCGTAGAAGGCTCTTCCCTTGTGTCATCCACGTCTGTTCTGGCATCCTGGGGCACAACAGGAATCTACCATATTTCCCGTTTGATTGAGTTTTCTGACAACAACAAATAGCCTAGCTGCAGGCTACTGCCTGCCAAGATGGCGACGTTTTGATTTGAACTGTTGCATGCTGGGAGAAGTGACGTCAACTCCTTGAGTCTTTCAGAAACATCAAGTAAAAAACAGTAGCATGTTGTCAGGGGTAGTGTTGTGAGCCAGGCCACCGAGCTAACTCTAGGTGATAAATCTCAAGGCACTTATTCACGGTACTAGATGGTGGGCATGAAATCTGCCCCCTCCTGCAGGCACCCTTACTTTGTAGAGAAAAACTGTTACTTATATGCAATCTAGGCCTTTAATTCTGGTAAAATCACCTTTATTTAGCTGTAGGAAGACTTTGCTAAGAACACACAGACACTGCAAGAGCTTATGACACTCATCACAGACCCCTGTCAGCTTCCCCTCTGATCAGGCCACAGCTGATCTAAACAACCTGGGATGGAATGAAGCAACCAGCAAACTCACCTTGCCGAGCCAGAGAAATAAAGGAGGCCCCCACGAATTGCCTTTTAATTTCCTCCCAAAGGAAAAACGTTTATTCCACACAAAAAAAGGGAAAAAGGTACTCCAAACAGGGAACAATAGCGTAGGCGAAATAGGAAAAGCTCGTATCAAAAACCCAAGTCTAGCAGATCCGTGGGAAAACAAGCTCTGTGTAACACACACTTCAACTGTCAATCACCAACTCTCTCCCTGACCAGAACCCTAGACACTTTTATTTCCCACCTCCCACATTATGCATTACAATATTTTTTCATTCTTCCTGATCTTTGTTTTACTGTCTCGTTAACTTTTTTAACACCTGTTGAGGAAAATTCACATCTTTATTTTTGCTGCACAAAAACTGTCTCTCGCCTCTCTTGCAGGCCCATTCTTCTGAAGTGTGACTTTCTGTGGTTTCCTGTCCCCATCTTCTTTTCCTGGTCTTCTTTACACATGCAGTCCGTTTTAGACCTCACGCTCTGACTTTCCAAGAAGTCAGCGTTCACACCTCTGGCCTCTTGGTTCTGTTGGACCCAGTCAGCTTGTTCCATAGAACTGAGTGCAGAGCAGGGGGGCCAGCGGGGGCAGGGCAGAGGCCCACGCACACACTTCAGAGTCAGGAGCGGAAGTGCAGAGTTCACACACACATTTCAGGAGCTGGGGCCTGTGTGCAGGAGTGGAATGGCAGGAGGTCAGAGGTTTTCACAGAGATGAGCTTGGCCCAGACTCGAAAATGTGACCACCGAGTCTGCCCCAAGTCTCCTCTCAACAGGTAGCAAGAGCCTGTTTGAGAGCAATGAACGATTGTTCAGAGTCAAAAGTCCAGGATAAAGGTACAGACAGATTTCTCATACCCTGTTGGTTCACTAACGCAAGCAAAAGGGGGGTCATACCTGCATAATCAGGAACAAACTGACGGTTAAAGTCAGCATGTCTTTTACCTTGACAGGCAGGGGATGGTGTAAAATGGAGGAACGGTGGGAGGGAGACATTTCATGACCGGTCCGAGACACGAGGTGTCCCAAAAATGACACCACAGACCTACAACATGAGTTTGTTTTTGGAAACTTTGAACTCAGCTGAAGCGATCATGGACAGAATGGAGTGAGTGTCTGACAAGTCTGAGAAGGTGTGGAGGCTATTGAAAAAGTTTCAACATACTGAATCATGACTGACTGTAGAAAGTGTGATGTCAGAGAGCATGTGGAGGAGCGAGACGTGAGCGTTCCCTCATTTGGCTCGCGGTTTGGGCGGCCAAGGTTTCAAGTTCCCTCTTTGTTTGGGTCAGTTTAAGTCAACTAGAACTTTTTCCTGCACGTGTGGGCGAAACAACCTCTTGATCCTTAATTAGGCCTCCAGTTACCTTAAAGACAGGAGCTTGGAGTCCATACTAACACACAGCAGAGCTGTCATACCTGTAAGGAGGTGGCAGGGAATACAGTGGAGCAGAAGGAATTGAGGGGCCCCCTGTGTGTGTGTCTAGCGGCTTCACAGGAACTTCTGCTTAGCTCTCAGCTTTGTGTGTAATGTCAACAGAAGCTGACTGCTGTTGTTTTTCCACCGCTAACACCTTCAGAGACAAGTTTTGTGACTGTTGTGATTAAGTGGGCTCGTGATCTTTCATCATCTAACTCCTGAGGCCTTTTCTTACCCTTTCTCCTTGCCACAAAACTCAGCTTGTCCCCTGCATCCACTCCAACCTGGTTGTGTCTGTCCCTCAGAGCCATTTCAACCTCAAACATAACCCGGCATATCTAGCAGCCAACTGGATATGAAATATGTTTCAGTACAACCTTCCTTCCAAAATCACTATATTCTTACATATTGCACCTTTAAACATATATTATTCGGCTTCACTGACCATCCATCTGAGGAAAAACAGCATTTTTGTGTATTTAATCTGTTATTTTACATAACAATTGGCATATTCATAAAGATCAAAATACTAGTAAAAAACCATTTTTCTCTTTATTTGAAAAGGAGATCAAACTATATATGATCACTCCACTAATGTTAACGCTGTTGTTTACACACAATTCTTTTTACGCCTGGCACAGTGACTACCAACATGTAGCTGATGTGCCAACTCCCCTAAACAGTTCTCCTGAACTACCAGCACAATCTCTGCTTCACACTTAAGATTACGGTTTAAAAACACACGTTTATCAAGGAAATCATGAAGGAAATCTCTTTTCACAACAAACATTGTCATTAAAAACTGTAGTCAGCTGCCCTACTTTTCATACCAACTTGTTGAATTGGAAAACACTTTTCACACATAATTTCAATTACAGGTCTTCACAGTTGTTTATTCACGTTTTTTTAAAGCATGCAACATATTTTTGGAGCTCTACACGCGAATCCAAAAACACACGCATTCTTCTCAAAATGGTCTTTGGTTTCCAAATGACACGCAAACCATCACATGAGTAAACAATTATAAGAACCAGATTAACTCTGATGTGTAAAACATTATGACCACTTCTCCAGTCATCATAACGACTTATTGTGTTCAGTGTTACACTAACTGTACTACGACAGTGCATTAAATATTTCAGAATGTTTGTGTACAAAACTCACAAACACGTTACAAAATATACTTTAGTGTGTTTTAACACAAAACAGAGTTCATCCAAACCAACACAGAGTTGCCTATGCAGTGGTCTACATATACAAACAGAAGACTATAATTAATAGTTAAGCTAAAACAAATAAAGAAAAAAATGAATTAATAAACGAATGTGCTGCATCTGCTCGTTTTTATCTGGCCACTGCCCCTCATCCACATGACAAGCAATGTGCTCGCTGACCGAGCAGAGTAGAATTGAAAAATTGGGAGGTTGTCAGGCCAGGTCCAGACCGCCTATTGAGGGACACTGGTATAAAGCAAGAACATTTTTAAGGCAGATGTGACCACAAGTTAAAGATCTGGGTAAAATAATGGCATGGGTTAGGAGTTTTTTCTCTCCAGATGTCTTTCCAGCCCTCTTCCCAAGTAGGTCCATCTGGAGCTGAACAGGGCCGACACGCCCACTGCTGACTGATTGGCTAACTCAAAAGCATGCCTACCATTACCAACTCCGATTGGCGGCGGGAATCAGCCTGCTGGAGGCTTCCCTTAGGTGTGATTCATTATCGTTGATGCTGTGGAGTTAAGAAGCCTCTCACAAAAGCTGTTTTTTTCTGTCCCTCACTGCTGTGAGGCGCGCGCACTCTCTCTCTCACACACACACACACACACCTGCCAGACCCAGCAAAGCAGGATGCAATATGAAAGTCAGAAAGTGTCCAAAAGCAAGACTACTTAGGCTGCTTTTGTTTAATAATGGACACTGCGGACTTCTCTGCGCTTTTGACCCGCCCACATGTGCTTGTGACATCACAGACCACCCGTGTCTGAAATCACGTGCACATGTGCTCAATCACATCTACATTCCTAAGACAAGCTACAAAATGTGATGTTGTGAGATAATTACTTTTCAAAAGCGTTTTTCTAACAGGAAGTGTGGATGAAATAAGTCTCCACCCATGCCTTGAGCACTTGAAGGCATCTATGATGTTGCTAAACATATTTTTATGAATACAATCTCAAGTGTGAATTTTCAAATCAGAAGGTAAAGAAAATGAATCTCATAGAAGATGAAATCAATTCTCACCTGTGTGAGTTCTTATGTGTCTAGTCAAGCTACTACTGTTAGTAAAACATTTACCACAAGTTTTACATGGATATGGCTTCTCACCTGTGTGAGTTCTCATGTGTATAGTCAAGCTACCACTGTCAGTAAAACATTTACCACAAGTTTTACATGGATATGGCTTCTCACCTGTGTGAGTTCTCATGTGTGCAGTCAAGTTACCACTGATAATAAAACGTTTACCACAAGTTTTACATGGATATGGCTTCTCACCTGTGTGAGTTCTCATGTGTGCAGTCAAGCTACCACTGTTCGTAAAACATTTACCACAAGTTTTACATGGATATGGCTTCTCACCTGTGTGAGTTCTCATGTGCGCAGTCAAGTTACTACTGTTAGTAAAACATTTACCACAAGTTTTACATGGATATGGCTTCTCACCTGTGTGAGTTCTCATGTGTGTAGTCAAGCTACCACTGTCTCTAAAACATTTACCACAAGTTTTACATGGATATGGCTTCTCACCTGTGTGAGTTCTCATGTGTTTAGTCAAGCTACAACTGTTAGTAAAACATTTACCACAAGTTTTACATGGATATGGCTTCTCACCTGTGTGAGTTCTCATGTGTGCAGTCAAGTTACCACTGATAGTAAAACATTTACCACAAGTTTTACATGGATATGGCTTCTCACCTGTGTGAGTTCTCATGTGTGCAGTCAAGCTACCACTGTCTCTAAAACATTGACCACAAGTTTTACATGGATATGGCTTCTCACCTGTGTGAGTTCTCATGTGTGCAGTCAAGCCACCACTGTCTCTAAAACATTGACCACAAGTTTTACATGGATATGGCTTCTCACCTGTGTGAGTTCTCCTGTGTTTAGTCAAGCTATCACTGTTAACAAAACATTTACCACAAGTTTTACATGGATATGGCTTCTCACCTGTGTGAGTTCTCATGTGTGCAGTCAAGTGACTACTGTTATTAAAAAATTTACCACAAGTTTTACATGGATATGGCTTCTCACCTGTGTGAGTTCTCATGTGTGCAGTCAAGTGACCACTGTTAGTAAAAAATTTACCACAAGTTTTACATGGATATGGCTTCTCACCTGTGTGAGTTCTCATGTGTGCAGTCAAGTTACCACTGAGAGTAAAACATTTACCACAAGTTTTACATGGATATGGCTTCTCACCTGTGTGAGCTCTCATGTGAGTATTTAAATCAGATTTGCGACTGAAAGATTTTCCACAGAGCTTACAATAAAATGGTCTCTCACCTCTGTGAGCCCTCTTTTTTTTAAGTATTTCACCACCTACACTTTCTCTGTGTTCTTTGCTTCGCTGACGTCTTTTATTCAGTTTCAGTTCTTCACTACCGTTTGATTCTGAGTTTTCTTTTCTGCATCCACCCCGATCTTGGTTCTCAGGTTCTGTAGAACTCTGACACAATGGCTGGTTCCTGTTTGGTTCTGGTTCATGACATTTTGTTTCTTCAGACAGAGGAGTATCCGTGAAGGTAAGATTTTCCTGGTTCAGGAGCTGCCCTTCATGTTGGAAAAGTTTTAGCTGTTCTGGTTCTTCCTGGTCTGAACAGGAGATCAACTCCTGGTTAAAGAGCTGCTGGACAGTCAAATCCTTCTCCTTTTCACAGACATGATGCTGTGGAAGATCTAGACAGGATAAGAGAAAAAAGAAAATGTTGATTAATTTGACAATTAAAAACACTTTTTTTAATCATCTAATGCAGCAGTTCCCAAACTTATTTAGCCGCGCACCCCCTTCTATGTCCCGAACATTTCGACGCACCCCCCTAGCCCCACATCAGGGAATATAGTGTAATGACCTGGCTGGGGTTGTAAGCCAGGTGCATTCTGGGTATTGTGTTATATGTGTTTCCTATCCCTCGGCTAGTTACTGTGTTGATTTGAGTGTTATGTTAATGTAAGCCACAGGGAAGGTGATGTGTGTTCTGTGGAGCGGGTTGAATTAGCATGGTTAACTGACACCGTGACTCTGTGTGGTAGGAGCGTGATAGAAGTTCTGCGTCTGTAGTGTTACAAAGGGTGGAAGAAGAAGGCTAATAAAGGTCTGGTGTGAACCACTACTGCCTCCTGCTGGTTGAGTTGGGGACTGCCGCTGAGACGCTCGGGGTCACTACAATTGGTGTCAGAAGTGGGATCGCTGAGTGTCTAGCAGACACTATGGAGCCGACCATAGACGAAATAGAGCATGCAATCTGGGACAACTACTCGATTCTCGGAAACATGGCTGCCGAGATCCAGCAAAGAAGACCGGAGCTGGGACGGCCAGAGGGCCACAGTGCACCCCGGAACAGACACCCCCTGCGGCGGGAAGAGATTCCTGGGGTTGCACCACAGCTCCCTGGCAGGACGGTTGCTAAACTGCAGCATTACACCGGGGCGACACAGCTACAGCCATACCTGGCCCAAGTCACGCTGGCTGCCACTCACAATGGGTGGGGTCAAGAAGAGACTGCCACCCACCTGGCGCTCGCACTGGAGGGCCCAGCACTTCAGGTTCTGCTGGACCTGTCCCTAGAGGAGCAGCGCGACCTCCGGGCTCTGACTACGGCGCTCGGTTTGGACAGAGACCACCAGCTGAACAGAGCAGGGAAGAGCTGGCTAGCCGACGCCGACGTGAGAGAGAGAGCCTGGGGTCCTTTGCTGCGGACGTCCGCCTCTATGCCCGACGGGGCTATCCAACCTTCTCAGGAGCGGCCCAGGAAGAGCTGGGTCTCCACGCCTTCCTGAGGGGTCTCACACCGGAGAGGCTGCGACAGCATGTTCGGCTGTCATCCCCCCGAGACCTGGAGGAGGCGTTGAGGGAGGCGGAGCGGGCAGAGGAGGTGCTGAGGGGACCCCACCCCAATCATTAAAACCTCTCCGTGACACTCATCCTGTGGTGGGTCGCTGTGGGTCCACCCGTGGATTATACCTGGACTGTATCATTGATGGACGGTCTTGCCGGGCCCTGGTGGACACGGGGTCTACCATCTGCTTGCTGCGGAGGGGGGTGCTTCCGGAGATGGGCGGGTCATTGCCGACGGATTGGACCCCTACTCACACAGCGTTGTACACTGTCACAGGAGAAAAGACTGTGATGCCGGGGAGAAAGACTCTGCAGGTGGTGGTGGGCACAAACAGAGTGAACCATGAGTTCTGGCTTGCCGATATAACAGACGAGTGCATTGTTGGACTGGACTTGCTAACCCACTGGGGGGCACAGGTTGATGTGCCGGGAGTTGCCATCCACCTTGGTGCTGAGACTGTGCAGCTCCAAGTGGGCCGCGGTAGTCAGGGACAGGCCCCCACCCCGCCGGCACCCCCAAAGCTCTCGCGTCCCACAGCTTCAGGCCACAGCCAGGGGTCGAGGGCGGAAAAGGGGCGGAAGAGGACCCAGGGGGTGAACGTGAGCAGAGCCAACATCCCGCAGCCAGAGTCGCCGCCTAGCTCGGCGGTCTCCCCGTCGCCTGAGACTGTCGCGGCAGTAGAGGAGCTTGGGCGGCGGAGTGGGGTGCACCTCAGTGTGACGCAGCAGCGGCAGCTGCAGAGCCTCCTGGCAGAGTTTGTGGATACTTTCGCTGCCAGGGAAGAAGACTGTACAAGGACGGACCTGGTGCAGCACACCATCGACACTGGAGCAGCTGCCCCAATCCGGCTGCGGCCCCACCGCCTGCCCCTCGCCAAACGCAAAGCTGCCAAGGAACTGATAAAAGAGATGGCAGATAATGGCGTCATTGAACCCTCGGATAGTCTATGGGCCGCACCTGTAGTTATGGTGCGGAAGAAAACAGGGGGTTGGCGCCCTTGTGTGGACTACAGGCGCCTGAACGCGGTAACCCGCAAGGACTCTTACCCGCTACCTCGCATCGATGACGCACTGGATTACATCGTTGGGTCCAGTTGGTTCAGCTCGCTAGACCTCCGCAGTGGGTACTGGCAGGTGGAGCTTGCTGATGAGGCACGACCCAAGACTGCCTTCACCATTGGGCAAGGACTGTGGCAGTTTAGGGTGATGCCTTTTGGACTATGCAACGCACCAGCCACGTTCGAGAGGTTAATGGAAAGGGTCCTCAAAGACATTCCCCGCGGCCGCTGCGTGGTCTACTTGGATGATTTGCTGACTCATGCCAAGGACTTTGAACAGGCTGTTGCAACCCTGCGAGAGGTCCTGACTGCTATCCGCGGGGCCGGACTAAAGCTGAACCCGGCTAAGTGCAACCTCCTGGCTCGCCAGGTGAAGTTCCTGGGACATGTGGTGAGCGAAAAAGGGGTGGCTACTGATCCGGAGAAGGTGGTTGCTGTGGGGGACTGACCACGCCAGCCTAACCTGGATGCTGAACTTTCGCCAGCCAGAGGGTCAGGTGGCCCGGTGGCTGGAAATACTACAAGAGTTCGATTTTGAGGCCCAGCACCGACCAGGGCGGCAACACGCCAACGCCGACGCCCTGTCCAGGTGCCCCTGTTCTGCGGAGGAGTGTCGGTACTGCAGACGCCTGGAGGAGTTGGACCGGGGTCCCACATCAGCAGCAGCAGAACCCAAGGGCAAGGGTGAAGGGCGGGAACCTTTCACCGCGGCAGAGCTGCAGCAGCACCAGGTGAGCGATCCAGTGCTGGGAATGGTGAGGGACTGGATGGAGGTTGGGACACGGCCAGACTGGTCCGCCGTGTCTTCCCAGGGGCCTGAGACTAAGTCGCTGTACTCCCAGTGGAATAACCTGGAGCTCCATGGCAGTGTACTTTACCGGTGGTGGCGAGCGCCAGATGGGGGAGGCGACAGACTCCAGCTCTTGGTTCCCCGGGCCTTGCGGCCTGAGGTCCTCCGCTGGGTTCACGGGGCTGCAGGTACTGGCCATTTTGGGAATGGGAAGACGGTGCGGCGGTTGAGACAGGACGTGGAGATCCATGTTCACTGCTGTGACGACTGCACAGCACAGAAAGGTCCCAGCCAGCGCTTCCATGCCCCATTGCAGCAATACCTAGTTGGGGCGCCAATGGAGCGGATAGGAGTGGACATCCTGGGTCTGTTCCCTGTTACTGATGCCGGCAACCGGTACGTCCTGGTCGCGATGGATTATTTCTCGAAGTGGCCAGAGGCGTATGCGGTGCCAGATCAGAGTGCAGTGACGACTGCGCACACTCTGGTGAATGAGATGTTCACGCGGTTTGGTGTACCGGAGGAGCTCCACAGCGACCAAGGGAGGAATTTTGAGAGCCAAGTGCTGGGAGAAGTGTGTCGGAGGCTGGGGGTAAAAAAAAAACGAGGACCACCCCCCTTCATCCTCAAAGCGATGGTCTGGTTGAGCGGTTCAACCGCACGTTGGCCACCCAGCTGGCCATCATGACCAGCCAGCATCAGAGGGACTGGGACCAACACCTGCCCCTTGTTTTGTGGGGGTATCAAACTGCAGTGCAGGAGTCAAGTCAGTGTACCCCTGCAGCCTTAATGTTCGGAAGGGAGATCCAAACTCCGGTGGATTTGGTGTTCGGGGCGCCCCCTGAGCCGGAAATTGCTGGGGGACCAGAGATGGATTACTTCCGGCGGCTCAAGGAGCGGTTGCACACGGTGCATCAGCTGGCGAGACAGACATTGGAGGGGGCCGGGGCCCGCCAGAAACGAGCGTACGATACCCGTGCGCACGGTCCTATGCTGGGGGCCGGAGATCGGGTCTGGGTGTACTGCCCCCGGCGGAAGCGGGGGCTGGCCCCCAAGCTCATGAGTCACTGGCAAGGCCCGGCCGAGATCCTGGAACAGCTAACAGAGGTGGTTTTCCGAGTCTGGATGCCGGGGCGGGGAAGGCGGGTGGTGCTGCATAAGGATCGGCTGGCGCCATACCATCCGCTTGCCCCGAACCCGCAGACTGGTGGGCAGCCTGGGGATTCCTTGCTTCCTACGCCTGGCTTAGCTGGGGGTGCCATGGAACCCCAGTCAAGGCCAAAGCGTACTCGACGCCGGCCCGGATATTTACAGGACTACAGAGTAGACGGTTAAGGTTGTGGGGACACTAAACCTCTTGGGGGGGGGGGCAGTGTAATGACCTGGCTGGGGTTGTAAGCCAGGTGCATTCTGGGTATTGTGTTATATGTGTTTCCTATCCCTCGGCTAGTTACTGTGTTGATTTGAGTGTTATGTTAATGTAAGCCACAGGGAAGGTGATGTGTGTTCTGTGGAGCGGGTTGAATTAGCATGGTTAACTGACACCGTGACTCTGTGTGGTAGGAGCGTGATAGAAGTTCTGTGTCTGTAGTGTTACAAAGGGTGGAAGAAGAAGGCTAATAAAGGTCTGGTGTGAACCACTACTGCCTCCGGCTGGTTGAGTTGGGGACTGCCGCTGAGACGCTCGGGGTCACTACATATATATATACAGGGGTGGACCTTTAAACCGCCCGAGCGCCAATGGCGCTAAATTTTCTCGTCGGGCAGTAAATACTTGACGACTTACCGCCTGGGTGGCGCCCAAACCTTCTTTGTCATTTACACACCGGCTTTCACCTCCATCATGGCCGCGCCCTGTTCGCGCACGTGAACCTGCCTCTAGTCACGTACTGCACATGCACTTGTACGTGCAGTACGTGCACGAATCATGCACGTACTGCACACCTCTAGTCACGTGAACTATAAGTTCACTATAAAAGACGGAGCAGAACCA